GGGGCAAACTTGTGTGAGCAAGAATGACTTTATTGATTATTCGATCTGGGAAACTAGTATGATCACAGTCGTCATTTTTCTGTTGGTTGTGAGTTATGGATGCAGGGATTGATGAATTTGTGGAAGCGATGATGATGCTTTCAATTGAGAGTCGATCTACTTTCCACTGTCCCATGAATGTTTTGTTGGGATGTCAAAATGCAAGTAGGATGGATGGGTCATTTAATCACCAAATATTTTTGGTCAGTGAACACCTCATTTGAATGTTACAAATTCAAGAAGTTTAAGAAAACTTTTTGTCTTAAATTTAATTCATAATAATCAAAAAACAAGTAACCCTCATGTTAATTTCACAAGCAAGTCTCACAGTCTGTGGGTTTATGATGCAACCACACCTGCCTCCTCATCCACCCTGCTGGTGGTTATACTGAGGTAGGAATCATGCTGTACAATACAAACTGCCCCACTCATTGACCGATTGAAGGTGTTGCAGCTAATTAAGATTAGCTCCATCCTTCCAGCTTCTTCCACTTATCCGGGGCCGGGTCGCATTGGCAGCAGCCTAAGCAGAGAAGCCCAGACCTCCCTCTCCCCGGCCCCTCCCCCAAGGTGAGAGATATAATCTATCCAGTGTGTCCGGGGTCTGCCCGGGTGCCTCCTCCCGGTGGGACTTGCCCGAACCACCTCAGCTGGCTCCTTTCGATGTGGAGGAGCAGCGGTTATACTGTGAGCCCCTCCGGGATGGCCGAACTTCTCACCCTATCTCTAAGGGAGAGGCCAGCCACCCTTTGGATGAAGCTCATTTCCGCCACTTGTATCTGTGATCTCGTTCTTTCATTCACGACCCACGGGTCATGACCATAGGTGAGGGTAGGGATGTAGATCGACCGGTAAATTGAGAGCTTCACTTGTACACTCAGCTCTCTCTTCACCACGACGGACCGGTGAAGAGAGACAGATTGGTGCTGCAGCTGCAGCACCAATCTGTCTCTCTTCACCGCTCCCTTCTCCCATCACTTGCGAACAAGGAGCAGGCCATTCCCACTGCTTCGCACTCGGCTGCAAAACCCCAAAAAACATTAAAACCCCAATATCTCTTATTTGTTTTTTTCTGCTGATCAGCTAAACAGGCTTAAACTGGATAATATGGAAAATTGTGAGCTTCAGAGGTGCCTGTAGGTGGATTAGGTTTCTTTTAGACGTGACCTGACAGTTGCTTCCCCGTGTGTCTTTCTCGATGGGTTGATATCTGAACTCTGATCCCATCTTGTTGTTACTTTTTGTTGGTTGTGTGTTTTTCAGATTTACTTACATTCAGCTTCACAGCGATGGAGGGAGAAGAGGTGAGAGAGGTGAGACATCAAGCACACACACAAACACACTCGCGTATGCACACAGGTTGGAGGGTAACCACTCATCGTACCACCAGAGATGCTCTGTCAGAACATCTTGAGGGGAGAGAGGGCTGGAAACATGTTAAGCATGCTTTAATAGAGAGAGAGGGGGGAAATGGAGTGAATGAGGAAGAGATGAAGGGAGAGTGTAGCAGTCGGCAGCCATTAGCAGGCCTGGAGTCTGTCTGCCTCTAAGTGCTCTGTAAATATCGCCTTGCCTTAGTAAACAGCATTATTCTCCTTTATTGGGCCATTATGTAATGGCCTGATCCCCCACAGTATGCAGATTGGTGTCACTCCATTATGTAAGACTTCTATTTCATTATGTAAGCATTCTCCACCTCCCCTCCTCCTTGTCTTCTTCCTCTCTTTGCTTTCTGCTCATCCATCCCATTAACAGTTTCTGACAAGAGGCCACGTTTTTATAATTTATGTCATCACATATGACTTCATTCTCAATCAGTGTGCACTGATCTTCATATTCAGTGTTTCATAATTCTTTATATTCTTCATATTTTTCATATTGTCCCATTAACTGAGTGATGCCACCAAGATATTTAACCCCAATGTCTCTTCACAAAAGACTGCAGTGTGCTTCAAGGTTTATAATTTATCACTTACAACTATACAAAGATTTTTCACTTTTAATGTATCAATTTATGAATTTAAGCATTAAAGTTGCATTGTAGCGTGATGCTTTTTGGAGGCAGAATTTATCATATTTCTGAAACCATGCTGGAGTGCGACATTATCAGCCAAGACTGGCTAGATAAGCTAGTAAACTGTAAGTTATTGAAGAAAAAGAAAGTATAATTTTATTTTACAAACTTAAAGCAACAACAAGTTATTTTACCTGAAAATTTAAAAAGCAAAAAGATTACCCTATTAGACACTTCACTCTCAGACTGCTGGCTCACTGGTCATTCCTGAAGTATTCACGTACTCAAGTATGATTCGAGGCAGAGCCTTCAGCTGTCAGGCCCTAGTTTGGAGTCAGGAGGGAGACACTCTCTACAACCAGTAAGTTCAATTCAATTTTACAGTCACCTCAAGGCACTTTATATTGTAAGGTAGACACTACAGTAATACATACAGACAAAAACCCAACAATCATATGACCCCTTATGAGCAAGCACTTTGGTGACAGTGGGAAGGAAAAACTCCCTTTTAACAGGAAGAAACCTCCGGCAGGTTTCTTCCGGCACGCTCAGGGAGGGGCCATGACGGGTTGGGGAGAGAAAAAGAAAACAGGATAAAAGACATGCAAGTAATTAAGTAAGCAGATTGGTGCCCTGCTTCCTGTTAAAACAGAGTTTTTCTTCCCCACTGTCGCCAGACGTTTGCTCACAGGGAGTCATTTGATTGTTGCGGTTCTCTCTATTATTGTAGGGTCTTCTCTTACGATATAAAGCACATCAAGGTGACTGCTGTTGTGATTTGGTGCTATATAATAACACTGAATTGAATTGAATACAGTTGTTTTGAAGACTGAAACTAGCGTTAAACACAACCACTTTTTTGCAGTCTGGTAGCCAGCCTCAAGTGGCCAGCAGAGGAACTGCAGTTCCTGACACAGAGCAGAACAACTTAATTTCCCTTGATTGGAAGTATTTCTCAGTGTAGCAAAATAAAGCTTTGTTTATTTTACCAGACTAAAGAGGGGCTGGGATGCCCTGTATTTGCATTTCAAATATAAGCAGAAAAGAGTTTGTGGGTGAGAAGGGGATCGTTTCCAAAGCAAAGTATATGCAGGAAAGCTTTTCTAAAAACCTGAAATCTCAGAAGCTGGCCAAGCAGTCACTGAGTCATCAGTACTGAAAAACAAAAAAACCCCGCAGCACACACCGTGGGTTGTTTTTTGGTGTTTTTGTACAAGGTAGGAGAGGATATGTGCATGTTTTTTCTTTTCCCCATAAGTTGGGAAGCCTCAAGTGTGTTGGATCAATAACAAAGAACAAGCATATATTCAAGAAAGCTGCAGTCTATAAATAAAATAAAGACTTCCACTCCAAGAGGCCAGCTCGTGAAAATCAAGTTCACTTAAACCACAGAAAGACAAACAAGAAGCAAAACACAGAGTGAAATTCAGTTAAGTGTTCATAAGAAGACGTAAATACAGAAATATAATACTGTGCAATTGTTAGTACAGTGTTTAATTATTCAGTCTGTTTCTACATTTTGCTGAGCTCTATGTTTGTAAGAGAGTAAATCGCATGTATACACACAACGTGCTGTCATCCATGGGTTTCAATAGCACTCTTCTGTCAGATGCTGCTGTCTCTTAAAGGTACGCATGAGGTTTTCTTCTCGCATCTGTGAGCTGACATGTTGGCAGCAGCAATATTAGGAATGCATAGTGGTGAAGTTTGTCATATAGGAGGCTTTGGTTTGTGTCCTGTTCAGGAGCTTTGTGTTGTGTGCCTTCTTTTCACTCATTGGTTTGAAAACTACCAACAACAACCTCACAGTTTGCATTAAAATCACAGTGACCCTGCAGATAAGAGATGAGTCTTTTTTATTTAAAAACGACACAAGCGATCTTTTACAGGTGTCCATAAGTAACTGCTTAGTGAAGATAGTTGTGTTTCTAAACCCGACACGTATAGAGACCTTGTGCCGTAAATCTGGGAGATTCTTGAGATTAAAGACTCTGATGAGGGACCTGGTCAAGACAGCCAGCCAAGAGTGGTTACACAGACTATTAACACACAGACACACATAAAAAGTATATAGATGTACAGATGTACTATTGATGTATTATTTAAAACAATAAATATTAAATGTAACAACATTTAAGTGGGAGAATGAGTCACTGACTCGGGGTAAAAACAAAGGCAGTAATATGTCTGTGAAGGTTCTCAGTCATCCAGGTCATCGTAGTCTAAGGAGCTTGGAAAGAAAAGCGTCTGGACTTCTTTAAGTTGCTTGAAGACGTTTCACCTCTCATCTGAGAAGCTTCTTCAGTTCTAGGGTCAAATGGTGGAGATTCCCGGATTTAAGCCCTGTGGGAGCCATTTATGTCCACTATGACTGACCATCTTTGAACAGAGGCGGTGGTTTTGAGATCCTTCCCAGACGCCTTAATGCCCACTCACATCCTGGGCCATCTGACCTCAGGAAATCATATGATAGGGTGGGGCCAGGTTTCACAATGAGCTCACCCGTAGGTAGAGGATCATTAAGGGGTCCTTTGTCCCTCTTGGGGGGGGGACATTCCCACAGGGCTTAAATCTGGGACTCTCCACCATTTGACCTTAGAACTGAAGAAGCTTCTCGGATGAGAGGTGAAACATCTTCGAGCAACTTAAAGAAGTCCAGACGCTTTTCTTTCCAAGCTCCTTAGACAGGCAGTAACAAATTAAGCAGAAAACTTGTGACAGATTAGTTAAAACACCTTTTAGTTTGGTGATTTAAATGAAAATATAACTTAGTGAGTAATAAGATAAATAATCACCTGTTGCAGCTGTCTTACTTTGAGATAATTCCCTTTATTCACTTATCAGAGATGATAATGTGGATTTATCACTTTTTTTTTTAAATTTACTCAGAAAGTTTCAGTCAAAAAACTGAAATCAAACCTAAAGCTTCTTTATGTAGATCAAAAATCACTCACTGACTGTGAACCACTCTCCATCTCTTATCTGTTTCAGGTGCCTCGTGGGTTGTATGTTAACATCCTTCTTGTGAGCCCTGACGGTTTGATACACACTATCCTCTGATACCACATTATACCAGACCCACACAGGATGTGACCTTTGGAGCCAGAGAATTCAAAGCCCACCTGCTGATATGCAAAAGACCCCACGCCGCTGGGAGAGACATATTGGATGCAGGTCTGGAACTGGTTCTCGAAACTTTGGATCAGAGGAACGAGATAAAACCCTCACAGAAGCTCTTTTTCTTCTTTCGAGGATGTAAACAATCATCTGATGGGTGTTTGTGTGATCGCTTCGTTTCTGAGAATGTGCAGAACAGATGTATGTGGACAACATTTCCCCTGGATGTTATTGTGGTCAGTGGTTGGTGGCACCGCTCTTCTCTTTCCCCAGCATATAGTCATATGCCAAAGGATTACAACAGTATTATGACAGCACTATTACAACACTGGGCGGACACCCAGACTTCCGGAAACACACCTCTTAGAAACTCCGTGTTGGGCCTTGGATTGAAAATATGAGCACATTGTCAGCGTCTTGTCTCAAAGCATCTATGATAATAACAAACAGTCAAGAAACTAAACCGTGAACTCTTCTGGCACTTTACTCATATGTTTTCATCTCATCCCTCTGCCCTGCCTTCTCTTGCTCTATTTCTCTTAATCACTATGTCTCTCCCCTTTTCTCTCTGATGAACAGCTGACTTGTATATCCTCCAGTATTACCAATCTAACTCTTCTGGCTGTGGATGACTTAGAAAATGTTGACATAATCGGTATGTTTACGTCCATTGTGGATCGATTCTCTCTGTGTTGGAATATTACAAAAAAAATTAAAATCGGTGTCCCGAGGACGGAGCCTTTAGGAGCACCAGCGGGAAGTGATTCAGCGTCTGCGGCAGCACGCGTGCGTCTCTACACGTGACGGTGAAAGCGGCGAAAACGCTCTAACGCTGGAGAGCAGCTGTGTGTGAACACATCGCTGGTGAACTTGACCGAAACTGTTCCTACCACTAAACGCTGGCACTCGGGATGGTTAAATATACCAAGTGGTTTTAAAAAATGGCCGGCAGAACTCACGCCGTCCCTTCCTGTCCCCCCCTCCCCTCCTCCCTCCCCCTCGATGCCCCTCTTTGCCGTTGACAGTGTCTGTGTTTGTATGCGACATACACCTTACAGTCTTCGATGGTTTGATACCCATGATTTACTTTGAATATAACGAAACTAATGACCACAATAAGGAGAAAAAAAACACAACAACATGCGATTTTATGCTTTCATAGATACAATTATGTGGATTTATAATGAAATAAAAGGTATTTTTCTTGGAAAAAAAGGAATTTGTTGTTATTCAAATTTCAAAAGAAGACTTCTCTCTAGACAGAAGCACTCTGTTTATGTTTGTTATTGAGAGGGTTGAGAGGGATTTCTTCCTGCTTTTCTATAAGCAATAATATCGCACATCCGTGCAGAAGAAACAAAGTCATTTTCAATATTAAGAAAGATCAATTGTGTTGTGTTCCTTTAATCACAGCTCTACAGCTCCAAACACTAAGTCTGTGTTATCAATGATAATGTTTTTTCTCTGTTTGTGTACTTTAGCTTCAGAGGTGCAATATAACAACCTGAATTGAACATTTAATGTAAGAATAGGTTATTGTGTTGGGCCAAAACAGAGACGTAATGATCAGGCAGAACACTTACAGACTGAAATAACTGCTGCTTGGTTAGTTAGAACAACCTTAAATACATTTAGTGGAACGGCTGCTTAAGATTCTGGTGATTTTGCAGCTCGTTCCAAGTGAAGGCAGGTGCAAATTTAAGCAGCACATTCTAAATTCATCGTGACCTCTGGAGACAGAAAGAAGGAACGAGTCTCCTGTTTCATTTTAACCCTGTGAAGTCAAAGTGATCACAGGTAGTAACCCAAACCCAACGCTAAAAATGTAAACCTGTTTTCATCTTTGTTAGGATGAGTATGCACCTTCTCAATCAAGATTCAACAGAACAAATTAATCTCTGAAGGTTTGATGTGAACCAGAGGTTTACAAGCCACAGTCACTGTGATAGAAACGATCTGGAGTCAAGAATGACGTCTGAATGCAAAGACATCGTCTCGTCACCTTTACGTGCAGAAACACTGAAAACACAATAATGATTGTCCGGAATCAACAATCTACTGCTGTGTACAAGATTTAACAGCACTACAAGAACAAAGCAACATGCTGGCCTTTATAAATATCCAAACATAAAGAAGACGTGTGCCCTTTGTCAGCAGTGCTTTGATGCATTTGCAGCTGTATTAGTTGCACAGGACAATGTTCCCATTTTAGAGAACGAGTCTGGAAGGGTGGCGGTGGTATTCACTTGCAGGTTTGTTGGCCAGGAAACTGTAAAGCTGCCACTATGAGACGTTTGTGTTTTGCTGTTTTTGCTTTTTTTTCTATTTTACTTTCACTCATTGGTTAAACACAGGGATTAAACTAGTTGTCTATGTTTAGGCGTCTAGAAATGACTTTGGTTTTTTAGGTTACAAATGATATCGTGACCATTCAGATAAATAATCCGGCATGTTGAAAAGTGATGAATGGCCACTAACCCACCCACCTCACTAACCTCCAAGAGCTCCTCTATAAATGACCCACACCAGCAGCTGTGATGAAAAAGCAGATTAAACGATTATATTTCACCCTAAATTCTCGCTTCGATTTTACAACCAGAGAAGTGTTAACGATGTCTGCCAGAGCTGCAGATCATCTTCATAACAAAACGTTTCCAAAACATAAGGCTGACAAGAATAAGAAAGGTTCTCTCCTACTGTCAGACAAGCAGTTTTGATGTTTCACAAAGAATTTTTCATATTTCGCTCGGTCCCTGCAGGGTAATAATAGACTTTTTGTTACCGGGAAACAATGTTAACTATCAATAAGGCTTTAAATAGTTTAGATGGCACTTATACCTGCCAGCAGTAAGGTTCTAGTGAAGTGCTGACTACACTTCCATCAGATCAACAGAGCAGACAGTCCAATGACAGCACGGCTTCTCGGTACACAACACATGCTATAAATGTCACTAAAAGTGAGAAAGACGGAGCCTGAAGCAGAGGGATTAGCTTAATGTCGTGACAGTAATTGGATGGATCGCTGAGACATTTGATGCTGACATTCATGTATCCCAGAGAATGATTTATAATAAGTGATTCTGTGACCTTTTATCTTGCAGGTTAACAGTTTGCTCTATATTTTGATTTATGACCAAATACCTTGAAAAGGAAGGACATGATCATCAGTTTAGTGCTAATTAGACAATTATAACACCAACAAATTAAACTAAGAGGCAAAGATTATGCAAATTGAATTAAAAGTAGCATTGTGCTGAATTATAACAAAACTCAAAATGCCCTGCAAGATTCAGAAACATATCAGATTTGATTTGGCCTAACTCCCTTTAAGGTTGTCTTTTCATGGACATCTGGACAGCTTTCAGCCCCGCTTCTGTTATTTGGAGAGCGCCATGAGTGCCCCGTCCTTCGCAGCACTTGTGTCGCCGTGATGATCTCCTTCACTTTCATTTTGAGGAAGACAAAAGTCAAAAGGAGTTTGATCTAAGGAGCCGTAAAGGGGAGAATTGTGTTGGCATGGGAAAAAAATGTGCCAGCACACATTGACATCCTGCATAGTTCCAGTCGTTTCGTAAAAATCTTTTTACCAAGAATTTTCCCTGAAATAGAAAAAACAAATAGATGAAAAAACTCAAACAACTGCTGGTCCCTCCCTGCCTGTAAAAGTCACAGTGAGGTGTCTGTGGGTGGCAAAGAGACGTTAACAGTGGACTCCACAGACGAGCACAGCAGCAACAGGGATCAGACACAAGCAGCTAATGTTGACAGAGCTTTCAGTGTATTTCAGTCATTGTGGCTGAAACATTGTTTGGATTGTTCATTCATTACAGTGTACAAAATGGCACTCTTGCCTTTGTAAATGTTTCTTTATTAAAGAAAACACATTTTAAGTGATTGTTTAAGTTAAAAACCAGATGCTTTGTGCTCTTCAAATCATTACCAGTGACTTCTGTCCAGAAGATTGACCCAGTGTGATGAGGAAGTTAGGGGTTTGAAACCGCAGAGCCCACAGTGTAAAAGATCTGTGTGAGGAAGAGAAGCACGTCCAGGGTCAAATTTAAAGGCAGCAGCCATGCTGGATGTCCAGAGGTGCACAGGAATATGCAACCCGATGTCACGGCAAAGTGTGAAATAGACATACATAATATATTTAAAGGCAGGGAAGGTATGAAGTACATTCTAGGCTCCTTTATCATCATAAACAATTAAGCTAGGTGGCTAATACGTAAAAATTGATAAAAATACTACAAAATGTGTAAAATAAATATCAAAAAGGGTCCAGTTCAGTGAATTAAATTAGTGGATGTGAAACCTTGCAGCCTGCAGACGCCTGCATAGATGTCTGTTAAAGCAGTCACGCCTTTAAGCCTTAAGTGCATCCAAATACAACGGATCTAACCATACATATGCAAACATATTTATTTCTGCTGTAAAGTTGGATGTTTTAACATGTGAGTCTATAATTACTGACTCACACTGGAAGCCAGCCTCAAGTGGACATTAGTGGGCCTGAAGAACTGCATTAGCTTCATGTTTCAGGCCCAGAGGTTACCATCTGTTTGGCCACATAGAGAAGTATCTCCAGGAATTTCTTTTAGCTCTACTGTTGTTTTTTTTTACCAGATGTACCCTTGTACTGATTTTACTGCCTTTCTGATAAACCTCCTGCGCACACTCCACCACAAAACAGCAAAGAACTGGGAAAAGGGCTCCTGTTTTCTAACCTTGCATCATAAAAAATGTAGAAGTCCGGTGTCTACAACATGTTTCTCTTCCCTGAAGTGGCAAAGAAACAACATTGTGGAATTAAAGAGAACTGGGATCATCGCTTCAGCTTAGGCCCTTTTTTGACAAGTGTTTCTCTGGAGGAGTAAGTCTGAAGAGTTTATTTTTCCAGCTGTTCCGGTCTTCATTGTCATGTCAACAACCAAGTGCACTTTTCTGCAAAGTTTTCCAACAGTAACTGAGCAGAGGCTGAAGGCAAAACAATAAATGTAGTGAATCTAGTTTCCACTTTTAACCAGTGTTCACAGCTCTGTGCTGCCATGGAAAACACAGCAATAAGAGGAACAAGTCAACACAAGCCCAATTTGTTGTTGAGGGTTAAGGGGGTGGACTTCAACACGAAAGACAGAAAGATAAATACTGAATAGTGAATACTTCAGTGAGCATGTAGGCTGTGCTGGAAAAACAAGAGTAATCTACGAAGGCTCTCGCTCCAGACTTCCAAAATCTGCTTCTAACGTCTACGACAGCTAAACAGGAGCCCAAGTCTCCATCAGATGGGCTTTAGGGGACCCTCACAATAACTGAGCACTTTTTCCACAATATTGGTTTTCCAAAACACAATATTAGATTTTCACACAAATAAACAACAAAATTCTGAAAATTCACATAAAATATTTTTATTTCAAACAAAAATCTCTAAAAAGAAAAATGTTACATGAACATCACCCTGGACCCCAAATTCAAACATTTCAATTCAATTCAATTCAATTTTATTTATATAGCGCCAAATCACAACATAAGTCACCTCAAGGCGCTTCATAGATACAGAGAAAAACCCAACAATCATA